TATTGGCATTAATCCATCTTTCAATCCCTTTTCCTGGGTGTGGGGCCAAGACTTTTAGTTCCTTTGGAGAGTGGCAGGGTAATGGCCTCAAAGTCCACAGCTCCTACATAGTGTACATGAGCATTGCATAACCTTAATTTAGGAATATAGGGATTGTATTTTTACCTCCTAATATTATCTTCATAAGGGAAAATTAAAAAAAAAACCTTCTATTTAAACTCAAATTGCAGATGATTCAATGATATTGCTCTTATCAAGCATCAGTTCAACAAACGAAATAACATGTAGCCATAGTAGCAGCTGTTACCAGTGAACTCAGATACATTGCCTGAGCATGCTGAGGTTTAAACAAAAGGCTTCAGAATGAAATACAGCAGCACTTGTAAACACTAGCATGCTCTATTCCACAAAAGGTACTGCCTTTTAGTAAGTGAAGTTACCCATTCTTATCTGATGCTAAACATAAACAGCTATTAAAACAAACCAAGGTCTTATCAAACCACTGAATAGAGTCTTCTATGCTCATGTGCCTTTTAAAAAAAATCATAAATAGAAAATTACTAAAAATTCTCAAAAAAGGGCAATATAAACATCTTTTATTATCAATAACTCACCATTTTCTCCCACTACTGTTCATATGGGGGTATTCAAAATGTGTGTTGGACATCATCTGACAAAAAATGATTTGAAAAGCAATTGGCTTTTAAATATCTATGTTCAGGGAAGATGTCCATGGCTTAGAGAAATTGCTGCAATTTAGAAGGAGAGCATTTTAGGGGACCTAAGAAATTGAGGAGGTGAAATCTGGACAGGAGGTCATTAAGAAGAGGAAGCTCTTGAGCAATTTCTCACTGATGACTGGTAAAAGGGCTACTGGTTTGACTAATCAAAGAATAAGCTAATAATTAACTATACAGATCCTCTCTGGGTTTCAAGAGGGTTATTTCCCAAGAGTGTATTTCTATGTTGATTGTTTGGAACTTTTTACACATTTTGCCATAAAAATAAGATGGTACATTCTCTGGGAAGTCTCGAAATGTTTTTTAAAAAATCATAAAGCAGCAGAACTACATTTGTTCTAAAAACACTAGCTAAGGTAATTGGCACTGTTTAAACATTTACAAATAGTTTTCTGATATAGTGCAACAGTAGTTTAAAAATGAAAATTTTCACAATAATAATAAGTACCACCATTTAGAATTGAATACTTAACTTTGGTCTGTGTGAAGTGCTTTACAAAGTATCTCATTTGCTTCTCACCACAATGCTGAGAGGTAAGTGTTATTATCCTCATTTTAACATGAAGAAAAAAAAGTGGAGGCTTAGAGAAGTTCATTGATTTGCTTTAAGTTACACAATTAGTAAGTGCTAACATCAGAGGGCAATCCAAAAATTGAACTCTGAGTCACAACCCTTAGGCCAAAAAGGAGGGGTAAAAAAAATCTCAAAATAAGATTGTTGTTGTTGTTGTTGTTATGTGCCGTCGAGTCGGCCCCGACTCATAGCGACCCCTCCTTGAGTTTCCGAGGCAGTTATCACTACGGAAGTAGGATTGCCCAACCTTCCTTCCGAGGAGTGGCTGGTGGGTTTGAA